TCTTTTAATGATAATGACTATGCTGCCTTTAATTGTCCATTATGTTGATTCAATCTCATCATGCTATGATAATATTAGTGTAGTTAAAACTTAAAAACCATCTCAAGGTATATGGTGGAATCTTAATTGTAAGTCTCATATCATATAGCCAAAATATAGTGAGGGCATTGCAACCTTACTATTTTTTCTATTAAATTTTGGACCACAAAAGAGCTTGAGCATATCAAAATTTCTGCTTGTTTGCTTTGCAAGTTTAAGGAAAATTACAGTATAAAGCTCTACCTGTGAAAATAAATGTGCATTTAAAAAATACGTAAATGTTATTATAAATTAATGGTAGCTAAAAAATTGAAAATATCATTTAGGACCATTGAATTCAACAAAAACATTATAAAGGTCTTATGTATCATCTAGAACCTTTTTTATAAGGTCCAGTAAACACATAACATCAGTATATAGCAATAATAAATTTGAAAAAAGGAAAAAGATATCAATTAAGTCAAAATAATAACATAGAATTACATTATGTACAATTTTAAACCATAATTGGTACTTTGTGCAACATTACACTACTTATGCAAAAAATTTAAACTGAAAAAAGCAAAAACTCTAAAACAGAAACAGCAAATCATATAAAAGTAAAATTAAACAAACAAAATGTTTTGTAAATATACTTATATTATATCAAATACTGTTACAATTCAGCATTTTCAAAAATTGTATCATATCGAGGGGGCTCTGCCTCACAAATGGGATCAGCATCTGCTTCTGATGTCTCTCCTTCATCATGATCTCTGGGAGTTTGTTGTAAAGTGGCAACAGGATATGGATAAAATTGAGCTGATGAAGGTATTGCCATGTTTTGTGGAACATAAAAATAATATCCTCCATGAGAAGTAGCATTAGGAGGAAATGTTAGTGGTGCAGTAGGTGATGCAGTGTATTGAGGCGGTTGCTGCCATGTTTGTGACCTTGTAGGTATAGTATTTAATTGAATATTGGATCTGTTGTTAGAAGCAACATTTCTCTGAGCTGTGGACCTGACGGGTATCATCCTTCTGTAACCTCGTTTTTTAGCACGAGTATAGAAAAAAACAAAGATCACTGCTGTTATTATAATTAGAATAATGGCACCGAATGTACCACCAATAGCTCCTCCAACAACTAAGAAAATGTATGAAGTGATTTATATGTAAGTCATGCATCAAAACAATACCTGAAGCATGATTAGATCTAGTAGTTGTAATATTGCTGTTGCAGTATCCTACAGTTGATACACTTGTTGATGATGAAGAATATGCTATCATTATGAAGAATAAACTAAATTAAAAGAGTAAAATGGACTTACAGCAAGTTACAGTGACATCTTCTGAATGTGTGCATGATGTAATACTGGAACTGGGACAAGAATTCCTTGAATTGAAGCAAGTACTTGATGAAGTGCTTGAAAAATGAGTAGACCATATTGGTTTATTGTAACTGCCAGGCCTATTAGCAATAACAGTGATCATAGTGTAATTTTGATAGCAACTCACAGAGACAAATGGTCATATCTGTAATAGCTACTGTATCCTAACTGTTTGCAGACAGTTCTAGCATCAGTTGAACTGAACCCATCATCACATATTGTTCCCCACTGTCCATTACAATATACTTCTACTCGTCCTTG